TAACCTGAGAGAAATTGACCCAAAAACATTTTCTTATTATTTTTTTTTATATTTTCAAAAATTGTTCATGACATTAGCTTATTTAGAGAGTCTGCTGGGATTATGAGAGTCTGTACCTCAAGGTACAATTGACTGATATTTCTTTATGACTAGACTCAGGTTAAGTATGTACAACTGACTGAAATGCTATAAAATCAATTTTAAAAAACAAACAAAAAAAGGCAGATCCAGGGGAAAACAGCAGGAGCAGCAGAGGCTGTGGCTCTGCAGAGGAAAATAAATGCTTAAAAGGAACGTGCAGCAGGAGCTCCGTGCCGCCTGGCAGGACACAGCTGTGGCTACACCTCTGGTGGACAATGTGGGCTGGCACTGGGAAGGTCTACACGGGTTGCCCGGGGACTGGGGTGCACTAGAGATTCCCAGAACTGGCAGTAAAGTGGATGCCAGCCCCAGAGGCCGACTAATTTTATTTTATTTAGCAATTCAAAAAATATAGATTATATATATTTATATATAATTATATAATCTATATATTTTTAATATCTTTTGAGCCTCTAAATCACCTCTCCTTTATTAGGCATCCGGGCAGACTTGGGGGACTCCTGAAAGCCACAGTGGAAATCTCCTTGAAGCCCTGGCCTTGACTATCTTGTTGACTGCATATCTATAGCATTAGAAAAGCACCTAGAGTCACTCCACAAATGCATGGTCAATGAATTCACAAACGACTGGCTGGGCCTGCTCCATCATGTTTGTGTCTAAAAGAGATAACAAGACACTCAAAGAGACAAACAGAGCACAGCTCAAGTATGGACAGTTGCTACCCATTAACCAACCTCCATCCCAGATTCCCTGCTATCAAAGGACTGAGATAACACCAAACCTAGAGCTGTGACGCATTCCCAGATTTTAGGAGAAATCTGTTGACTTGAATGATGGGATTGGGCTGGGCTTAGGCCAGTCCAGGCCAGTGTAGCCTCAGGGACCTGTTAGGCATGTTCCCATGGCAACTCAACTCACCATACATAGTTTCTACATTCAGGTCAGAACTGTGGACTGTGGCCATCTGTTCCTCGAGGCCACACCCTACCCTTTCCCTTCTGGCCTGTCTGGTTTCCCAGGTGACCATCCAGAGAACACTAAGAGAAGCTGGAACAGCAGAAGAGGGAAAGCCCCACGAGGGAGAGGGCCCTTCCCCTCCAGGGCCAGCGTTCCTTACTCAAAGCTTCAGCAGCAAGCTCCTCCTAGACCCCTGGGCCCAGGGTGCCCATGTCTCCCACACCTACCCACAGTAACCCCCACCTGCTGCGCCCCCGTAACCTGACCCTATTGCATTTGGCCACCAGCTCCTCTACAAATTCTCCACCTATGCAATTAATTGGCCCAGAGACCCTCCTTCTCTCTACCCCTCCAGCCTGGCTTTCCTCCTTCAGGAAACCCTCCCAGACTGCTCTCCCAGCCTTCTCCTCTAGCACTCATTCTGGAGCCTCCAATTGAGCATCCCCAACTCTGGCAGGATCTCCCAGATCTGAATGTGGGTCCACTCACCTCCCATGGCCTAGGAGTTTCCTTAAGGAGGTAACTGCAGGGCTGGGGATGTGGCTCAAGCGGCAGCGCGCTTGCCTGGCATGCGTGCGGCCTGGGTTCGATCCTCACCACCACATACAAAACAAAGATATTGTGTCTGCCAATAACTAAAAAATAAAATATTAAAATTCTCTCTCTGCCTCTCTCTCTCTCTCTCTCTCTCTCCCTCTCTCTTAAAAAAAAAAGGGAGGTAACTGCAGCTTTTAATCCTTACAGAAACAATGAAATAAGTATTATCTGCATTTTAGAGCTAAGGAACCTGAGCCTGGTACTTAAAAACATAGCTTGTAGGGCTGGGGGTATAGCTCAGCAGTAGAGTGCTTGCTCGCAGACACAAGGCCCTGGGTTGGATCCCCAGTATCGCAAAAACTAAACCAAAATAAAATAAATAAAACTAGCTTGTGCTAGATCAGTAGCAAATGAGAGAGCTAGAACTGGACGTCGCCTGCCCTTCCTTACACCTCCCTTTCCCTGTCCTTCAGAGCTGGCACCACATGCAAGACACACCCTGCACCCTCTGCTCTTTATAACCCCCATTAAATCCTCACAAAACTATGAGGGAAGTACAAAATAGCCTCATTTTACAGATGAGGATATGGAAGCTCAGAAACTTTCTGTACATTTCTTAAGGTCACAGAGCACCTAAGTGCGGAGATCAGAAGTGAACCCAGCTCTCTGGCTCTAGGTGAAAAAAGTCAAGTTTCCCACCCCCTGGGTATACCCAGAAACAGGCTGAGCAATTCAGGAGACAGGAATGCAGATTCTCCAGCCCAGCACAGGCGGGCACAGACGTTGACTGATCAGCCAGCAGCTCTGATAAACGGACATGCCTTCCACGGGCCTGCAGGAGCCACCTGGCTGATCTGGGGAGGCCCAGAAGCCCCAGGAGAGGTGAGCCAGGCCCAGCACCCTCCTCACTCATCCCTGAGTTGACACACCCTCAAATTCTTTCACTTCTGCAAATGCCTCCCAGCATCCCAAAAGTCCTCTGGGATTTGTGATTAGAACCAAAAAGTTTTCTAAGATGTATAATTCAAATAAAGATAAATATATTTTTGGGTTTGAGAATTGTCCTAAACAATTCCCATGTTAATTGAGAATAGCAGGAAAATATCCCTTTGCATATTCTAGTCTCAATCTCTCAATTGCTGGTCATTGTTCTGACCTACAACTGCCTTATCTGTTTAACGAAGGGGAGGGACCATTTGCTCCTAAAATTATTTATTATTATGTTTTGAAATTATTGAAATGATTTTTATTATTACTTAAGTTTGAATTAACTTGGTTTTAGAACTTTTAAAGTCTTTGCAATGTAGTGAGAAAAGCATTCAACTTGACACCAAGTTTGATGTGCCTCTCAGCTTATGTTCTCTCCTAGATGAAGTTAATTTCATCATGAAAGATGTTTAGGGCTAGGATTGTGACTCAGTGGTAGAGCACTAGCCTAGCATGTGTGAGGCACTGAGTTCAATTCTCAGCACCACATATAAATAAATAAAATAAAGGTCCATTGACAACTACAAAAAAAAAAAAAAGATGTTCTTTACACTCTTTTCCAAAATCTCTCCCTTCCTTCTGCTGTCCTTCCTACCTGCCCCTCCTCCCTACCACCCAGTTCACCAGTTCAAAGGCTCCTGAGATGAAGCAGGGGCTCAGCTCCATGTTCGCTAGTTCCCTCCTACTGCAGTAACAGCCAGTGACCATTGAGCATCCTTTTCTCCAAAGACCAAAAGGCTAGACTGAAGGAAGGACTTACTAACCCAAGGAGTAATGGGAGCAAAAATGAGGGACCCGAGAAGATAAAGGAGCCAGCTAGGACTCTCCTCCCTGAGACCTACATAGTGTCAGGTCTGCCCAGAAGCCAAGAAACGTGAGATTGGAGGTGGTAGACCTCCATGAGTCAAGGCCAGACATAACCTCAAGTAGAGGAGGCGCTAAGCAGATTTTTGAAATGGAACTCTCAACTGTTTGAATTCCTAGAAAAGTCTGAGCAAACCAGGCCAAGCCAGGCCAGGCAGGCCAGGCCCGGGAGGAATGCGGCAGGGCAGGAGGTTTGTATGCACAGCCTCACGGAGAATGAGCCATTCTCTGGGACCATAAACCTTATCTCCCACCCACTCACCTCCAGAGAGCCAGGATAGCTATCTCTGGGTTCCAAGAGATTGATTCAGCTGAGTCAACACTGGGGGTTGCGGGGCACTGTGGGCCCTGCAGCATACCTGAGTCACTTCGTGATGGGTGCTCCATTCAGAAGTAAAATAGGAGAAAAGGAGACCTCTTAGGCAGAGGTGGGAACAAAGAGATGGGTCAGAATGATTCATCTACACAAAGGCTAAGGGCCTCAGATTGCTATCAGTCAGCCCCAAGCCAGAAATGTTCCCTCCTAGAGAAGTCAGGTACAGACACTGGACAGCACTGTCACTTCAATTATTCCTTTGTCACTGAGTTCTACAGTTTATTCACAGTTTTTAATGGGTTTTCTCTCTTCCAACATTAAATGCCTCTTTAGCTTTAAAAACTGCAGTTGAGCCAGGCATGGTGGCACACACCTGTAATCTCAGCAGCTGTGGAGGCTGAGGTAGGAGGATTGCAAGTTCAAAGCCAGCCTCAGCAGTTTTGCAAGGCCCTAAGCAACTGAGAGAGACCCTGTCTCTAAATAAAATATAAAAAAGGGCTGGGGATGTGGCTCAGTGGTTAACTGCCCCTGGGTTCAATCCCCAGTTCCACGCCCCCCCCCCAAAAAAAATGCAGTCGAATCCACTCTATCTTAGAGGACAAGGAAGGCTCAGTTCTAGTCCCAGGGCTGTGGTCCTGTCTCTCCACCCATCCTTTTACTCTGAGCTGGGCCCTGGCACTGTTCCCTTGGTCTCTGTGTCCCTGAGAAATTCCCCACACCTCTGCCAAGAGGCCTGTTCCTCCTCACAGGCAGGTGAAACCTGGCACCTACCCTAGAGCTTGCTAATGTGAAGCAGCCCCCCTGCAGGGGCAGGGATGACATCATCACCTGCCTTGCACCTTCCAGACACGTACACACTCTCCCTCTGCCCGGCCTGTGTATCCCTTTCCTCCCTCACCTCCCCCATTTGCTCCAAGATGTCCTCTCCTGCCTCATGCCCAGCCAGGCAGATCTTCTACAAATGCTGCTTTGATCCTGTCATTCCCCAGCAACAAGCTTCCCGTCCCTTCTGAATAAAGGTCAGATTTCTCATCTGTCGGCTGAGGCTGAGTCTTCCCCACCTGGCACCAGCTGCCCTCCCCCTCCCCTGGAGCTATGTCCTTCCCTCCGGTGGCACCTCCTCCTCACCTGTGCCTGCTGAAACCTTATCCCTCCCTTGGGCCCTGGCTCCAGCACACCTCATTCAGTCCTCAAACATTTACTGAATGAAAGTCACACAGCAGGCACCTCCCCCATGAATCCTGCCCCAGTCATTTCTGCAGTAAGTGGCCGCTCCCACAGAGACCCCAAGAACTGGCCTTTGTCACACCCCTGGGCTGGGTTCCACTTTCCTGTGGGCTTGTCCGAACTCCCCTCCCTTTCTGTAAACCTGATATATATTGAGCCTGGAGACTGTTAATGAGATATTCTTTCATATTTGACCCTCACAATGGCCTTAAGAGTTCAGTAGTATTATCCTTATGTACAGGTAAGGAGACACAAGGCTCAGAGGAGTAACTAGTGTGGATCAGGATTCAAAGCAGGGCACCAGATTCTGAGTCCAAGGCCCTCCAGTATGAAGGCAGCGTCTTCAAAAGCAGGGTCATGTCTTTAACAGTGTTCCTTCTTCCCTCAGCACCCAAGTTCAAGAACTTCTTTGATTCAATAAATGAATGAATGAAAAGTTTTTCAAAGTCAATTCTAATCAGATGAGTCCTTTTTTCTACTCTGATCTCTATCTCTTCTCCCCTGCATTCCTATCTTTTCCTCTCCCTCACCCTGGACCCCAAGGATGCAGGAGATAAAGGAAGAAAAAAACTTGTTACTCTCTTCCAAGATCCAGAGGATTGCTGCTGGCCTCAGGAAATAGGACAGGAAGGTTCCTCCCTTCCACCCAGCCACTAATAACCCCAGGTGAGTCCCAGCGCCAGCCTCCACCCCTCCCCGACTCCTGCTGGACAGAGGTGGGGCGGGAGGGAACCTCAGAGAAAGCCAGAGAACAGTGAGGGGGCCGAAAGGGGCCAAAATCCAGTGACTCATCGTCCTTGGGCCTCCCCTAGGGAGTGAGCAGACACTTAAAATTCCAGCCTATTCCCTGGGGAGACAGTTGGGTGTCAGTAAACTGGACGGGAGGAGGAAGAGCTCTGTTTATCCCAAACTAAATGCAGCCATGGTAACCAAGGCCAGTGCCATTAGGACTGGGAGCAAAGGTCCGGGCCAGGGGCAGAGCCATGAGTGCCCTGCCAGCCTGCCACCTGGGCCTGCTGCCCAGGCCATGCCAGCCAGGCCTGTTCTGACCTAGCACCCCCTTGTGGGCAGAGCCAGACCTGAGAACTGGGGAGGGACAGTCCTGAGGGTGAAGTCACCCACTTTATAGACACCTGAGTTCTTGCTTCTGTGTGCCTTCTCAACAGAGACCAGAGACAGACAAACCCAGGGAGCTCTTGGCCTCAGGGCTGGAGGAAAGGAGGAGTGGGGAACTGAGCCAGCTTCTGGGAAGAGGGTCAAGTGGCGGTATCAGTCAGGGAAGGCTTCCTGGATGAGCGTGTCCCCAGCTAGAGAAAGACAGTAAAAGCTTCATAACAGAAGAGCCCAGAACAATGGGAATGAGAACTGACGCACCTTGCTCCTTCTCTTTGCTAGTCACCACAGTCATAAACTCCTGGTGCCTGGAGGGGCCCCTTTGCTGCCACCACATCCTTAATAATGTCTTCTGCCTATTACGCATCTCCGCTGCCGCCCTTGCTTCTTTCTTGGGGTGGAGGTGGCGCTCCCTCTGCCCAGGCACAGGCCCTCCACCTGTGCTGAATCCCGCTTCTGAGAGCCTGCCTGTCAATGTCTTCTCTCTCTTATTGTGCTCCTCCCACCCATATCCAGGCAGGATTTTTCTCTTCTACTTACATCCATGTTCAAAACACTTCTTCCTTAAAACGAAGGAAGGGTAGCTGGGTTCATTGGCGCACACCTATAATTCCAGCGGCTTGGGAGGCTCAGGCAGGAAGATCAAGAGTTCAAAGCCAGCCTCAGTAAAGGCAAGGCCCTAAGCAACTCAGGAAAACCTTGTTGGTGGTGGTACTAGGGATTGAACCCAGGGTCACTCTACTCCCAAGCTATATCCCCAGTCCTAATTTTGAGTCAGGGTCTAGCTAAGTTACCCAACCTTAGTCTCCTGACATCTCCTGAGTTTCTTACCATTTCTCTGGTCACCCCTTCCTACTCACTCTTCTTCATTGAATCTTTTTATACATACCTGGTGCTTATATCCATAGTCCTTAATTTTGGTGGGTCATATATCCCTTTGAGACTCTTAAAGACAACCCCATACTGCCTAGCTTCTCCTGTACAATTCAAGGGGCACATGGACTCAGGGAAATCCACTCACAAGGCCCAGATTAGGAGTCTCAGCTTGAATATTGGAATCTGTCTCCACCTCCCCTTCTAGGCAATCCCATCCACTCTTAGGGATGATGGCTCCCAGGTCAAAATCCAACTCTCATGGACGCCACAGACCCATTTTTTTTTTCTTTTCTTTCCTTTCCCTTCCTTCCTTCCTTTCATCTTCATTCCAGTTACCACTCAGTCAGTCCCATCAGGGATTAATTCACTGATTAGGTTAAGGCTATGACCCAATCATTTCTCCTCCAAACCTTCTTGCATTGTCTCACACGTGAGCTTTTGGGGGATGCCACATCTAAACCAATACAGGCTCCAAACTGAAGTCATCATCTAATGCCACCCTCCAGGCCTCACATTCTCTCACACTCCCTGTCTGGGCAACATCACTCCATCTCCAAAGCAAGAAGCCAGGCATCACCTCAGATTCTGAGGATGTTAACATTCCTCCCTTTTGGTTTGGATAAGAGGCTCTGAGGCAGGAGGGGGGCGGGGAGCTGGTGAGCGAAGGTCACTCTTCTTGTAGCTGCTTCCTGCTGAATGGGGGTGAAGACAGGGGCAGAAGCAGGTCCTAGAAGGGCGTTTCTTCTGGCGGGAACATGTCTTCCCAGGAGCATCTGATTGACTCTTCGGTTGGTGAAGGTTTGATCCTTGCCATGATGGTTTCCATAATGGTTAATACTTAAAAACACATGGTAACAAAAACCAGGCAAAAAAATGGCAGTGAGGGGTCCCAGGAGGGGTAAGACCCAAGTAAGGATAGGGTTCCACAGGCTGGTGAGAGAGGAAGAGGAAGAGTCGCCAGAGAGCTTTTGTTTGAGTTTGGTAAGTTAATGGCTTTCCTAGTCTGGTGTGTGCTATTATTTTTATGGGCTTTTCCTCAGCAGTTAGCAACCTCCCTCCCTGTAGGTGGCTCCATTCATATGTGCATATCTATTGTCTGTGTAAATGTTTACTTTCTTACCTTCCGCACCTTCAAGCCTGTATAAGGCCAATAAGCTTCCCCTGCTGTGTCCAGGTTGAAGTTCCTTTGGGGAGTATTTGAGCCCAAATGATTTCTGTTTCCATTGTGACCATGGCTCCAGCCTTCTGAGCCCCATCTATGACTTGGCTGCTGCCATCTGTGAACAGGATGGCTTCAGCCTCAGCCAAAGGAACATCGGTCAAGTCAGGCCTTCCTGAGCTCACCTGGTCAAGTATATCCTCACAGTCGGTGGAGGGGCTCATAGGGATCATCTTCTAGCATCTGGGAGGTGGGGTTAAGGGCCCTTGGGGGGACAAAGGTGAATGGAGGGTGGTTAAGCAACAGTCTCTGACATTGAATAATATGACTGTTAAAGTCATCCATTTATCTAGTGCACAATTTAGGAGGGTCTCTACAAAGTGTGGGGTTGCCATTGTGAGGAACCGTCCCAAAGCTGATGGAATGGTAGACTTTGATTGTGGGGTTAAAAGGTATGGTGGAATAGTTGGGGCCTGGGATCGTATAGTGGGTGGCATCATTGGATGCCCATATATAAGTTTGAATGGAGAGATTTGTAGGGGCTTCTTAAGGGCCCACAGTCTGTAAAACATTAATAAGCAATAGCCATAAAGTTTACAAAGAAAATACAAAATGAAATTAACAAGAGTAAAAATGTCTAGTTTATGTAACAGCTATGTTTAATTTTGGCTGCCTTATATATCATAACTAATTCAAATTACAGTAATCTTTACAATAAACATTACTCTTTTGGACATAAATTTAAATGAGTTGAAGTTTGACCTGTTTTTGAGCCATTTAACATGTAGTAAGATGGGAGGCAGGGCCTTATCTTAGGATGAGGCTCTTGATGAATTTTAGGTAAAGTGTTTTAGTTGTGAAGGTGATTTTTGTCTCTTCCTTAAATATCATTTTATAAAGTTTACATATATTGTTTCCTGAGTCCACATGAATGTCAGCTAACAATATGACATTACATTTAAAACATGAATTAAAGAAAGGTTGAGAGAGTTTTAACCTTTTTTGTGGAAAAGTAGCAAAATGTTTCTGTGTTTTACAGTATTAACCTTTAAACAGATTAGCCTCTCGTTAACTTAAAAATACATTTAAATTTTATTCCAATGTAAAAGGTAACACCAAACTTTATAAATCTTATTGATAACAGATCTAGTCATAAAACATTAAATGACATAAATAAATCTTCAATAAAATTGTTATCCTTATAAGTCTATCAGATAACCTTAGTTTGGAGAATACCAGTTCAATAAAATGCTTTTGTTTTTGTTTTTAACCTTTTTACCTTAAAGACTTGTATACCTGGAAGAAATGAATAAATTTAATATATTAGTACCATAATCATATTGATGTCATTATATTAATCAAGTTTAGCTCTTAAAGAAAAACCTAGACTTTGTAACATAGTATAATACTCCAAAATAACAGCTGTTGTTTAACCACAGTCCTATAAACTTTAATCTTTCTAAGATTAGTTGTTCTACAGAATAAACGTTAATAGCAGCCAGGTGCAGTGGCGCTCACCTGTAATCCCAGTGGCTTGGGAGGCTGAGACAGTAGAATCGTGAGTTCAAAGCCAGTCTCAGCAATAGGCTAAGCAACTCAGTGAGACTCTGTCTCTAAATAAAATATAAAATTGGGCTGGGGATGTGGCTCAGTGGTCAAGTGCCCCTAAATTCAATCCCCGGTTTCAAAAAAAAAGAAAAGAAAAAACTTAATAGCCACAATGTTAAGAGTAAAATTAATGTTTCAAGAAATTCTTGTTACTTTAACACTTGGATTAAACTCTGTTTTACATCATTACATTAACATTTTTACCTTAGAGAAAAACTTTGAATATCTTTGACTGATTATTCCACACAAAAAAATAATTAAGCTTCTTGAAATTTGCCAATTCTTTACATAGACGTTCTTTCTCAATTAAACTCTCTTGTTTTAGTTTTCGTACCTAGAAATTCTAATTTCTCTTTTCTATTAACCCCCTTTTATGTTTACATTTTGAAACAATTCTTATAAATTTCTGAATCTAGATAAATTACTTCATTTTAATGAGAAGGAATATTTTGTTATTTATAATAGTCTAATTGAAACACACTTGAAAGCTTTTGGGCCTTTGTATATAGAAATCTTCTATAAACCTTTGTATATAGAATTACATCTGTTTACCATTTCATGAAAACACAATGTTCAAGTATATAGAATTACACCTGTTTGGCACTTTAAATTTTTAGTAATCTTATTTTAAGTAATGACACAGAGCATTTTTTAATCCCCTTTTTCATTTACCAATCTATGAAAACACCAATAATGTTACTGTATGGACTTTAAGGAGCTAAGAGTACTTGATGTTATATTTAATAGTTAGCATATTAACTTTGTAGATTAATCAGATGTCTCTAACAAACACATTTATAAGTACTTCCATACATGTCAAATCTCTTACATGTTAAGCTTAATTTACTTACTTACTGTAAAAAAAAAAGATATCAGACAAGTGTATTAAATAGTATAAGTCATTTTTCCCTTGTTGAAGAGAAGTCTTAGAAACAATAGATATTAGACATTTTATAGATGTTAACATTTCATTAGTTGTTGACCACCTAGAGAGACTTGGGTTAAGTAATTTTAAAGATATCTTTACTTTTGTTTGTCTACCCAACTTACATTGAACCTTTAAATCATATAAATCAAAGGTATTTGGATCCATTTTTTAATTTTAGTTTATGAGCTCTCTATATGTTGGTTCTGACACACATGGACAAGTCAGCATAGAACAACAAGTAAAGGCCTTACAACTTTTGAAATTTATTAGATTAAGAGTCAATTTTTGTAAATTGGCCTCTATAAAACAGGTCTGATCAGAAATTATAATTTAGGTGCATAGGATGAAAATTATGAACTCAAAATATAGAATTGTAAAAATAAGAATCCCAGGAAAAAATGATATAGCTATTAATAATTTCAGTTCAGCAACATGAGAGAATTTTTCTGTTAATTGTTTCAGTTTAGCAGCATGAAAGGATGACAAAGAGAGAGAGAGAGGGAGAGTTTTGAAGTCCTTCTTTTGTGTTGTAGGCTGGGAGGAGTTGAATACTTTTGGGCCTGTTGGCTTCTTGTGTCTTTAAAATCTCTTTAGAAGTAGAATATTTATCTGCTGTTTGACTATTTATTATTTCTGTAATTTGAGGCTCTTTGATGTATTAGGGGACCTAAGAAACTGGCTGCACATGAGAGGAGGGGTGTTTTCCTTGAGGACAGTCAACCTTTCAGTATCTCCATTGCTCACACTTGGGTCAGGGCTCGGTGGGAAGCCTCAGGTTAGGGCAGGCTCTTGCCCAGTGTCCATGCTGTCTACATTGAAGACAGGGTCCTGGTTTTTGGCCCTGAATTGTAGAGGCCAAGAGCTGGTATTTAATTTTAAGTTGTCTTCTTCTTTTCTTTTTGGTTTTATCCTCCCAGTTGAAGAAAACCTTATCTAAAAGTAACTGTTGAGGAGACTCAAGACCCTTCTTTAATCGTCTGAGTTTCTTGTGGTTGTCAGGTGCAGATCCACAGATAAAGTGTGGAAGGAGCCTGCCATTAGGGCTGCTGACATTAAATTTGTATATTTGGTGATGGCCTCAGTAAGTTGGGTCAAAAATCTGGGACCTGGTTAGGGTCCCAAAGCAGCTCTGATCCCCCTAAGGTGCTGAGGATCGAACCTGGGCGGCACACATGCCAGGCGGGCGTGCTACCGCTTGAGCCACATCCCCAGCCCATATAAATAACTTTTAATGAAACATGATCCTATGAGAGTACATTAACTTGAAGGCATTAGATAAACTTCCTGAGGAAGCAATATTTGAACTGAGATACAAGGATAAATTCATTGAAAAGGCTGTAGTATGCCAGGTGTGGTGGTGCACACCTGTAATCCCAGCAGTTTGGGAAGCTGAAGCAGGAAGATCTCAAATTTGAGGTCAGCCTCAGTCATTTAGGGAGGCCTTAAGTAGCTTGGCAAGACCCTGTCTTAAAATAAAAAATAAAAGAAAAAAGGCTGGGGATTATGGCTCAGTGGTTAAATCCCTAGGAAGAAGGAGGAGGAGGAGGAGGAGGAGGAGGAGGGGGAGGAGGAGGAGGAGAAGGAGAAGGAGAAGAAGAAATAATACCTGGGTGATCCTGGCCCACACCTGTAATCCCAGACTCAGGAGACTGAGGCAGGAGGATCACAAATTCTAGGCCAGCCTCAACAATTTAGTGAGACTCTGTTTCAAAATAAAAAAATAAAAGGTCCAGGGTTATGGCTCAGTGGTAAAGTGCCTCTGGGTTTAATACCAAGTACCAAAAGAGAAAAGAAAGAAAGAAAAAAAAAATAGTTTGGCAGTTTCTTGTAAACATACCCTTATTGTGCAACCCAGCAAACTATTCCTGGGCTTTTTATCCAAATGAGAACATATATTCACACAAAGACAAGCAGCTTTATTCATGACAACTACAAATTTAGAAGAACACAATTATCCATCTAGTGGTAAATGAATAAACTAGAATAACTTCCTAAAATGGACAATAGAGGACAATTTTTAAAGGGGTGGGGGGTGACTAGTGATACCTGCAACAACATAGGTTGAATCCCCAAAACATTATGCTAAGCTAAGGGAGTCAGAGAAAAAAAAAGCTACACACCAAATGATTCAAATTATAAGATAATATGGAAAAGGAAAAACTACAGGAACAGCGAACAGATCAGGAATGGCCAGAGCTGAAGGCAGGGGGTGAGAGACTGACTCTGAAGGAACGTGTCAAAACACATCAAGGTGATGAAATGAACTGTGTTTTGATCATAGTAGCAGTTCCACAACTGAATTCATTTGTCAAATCCCACTGAACTGTATACCTAAAAAGAGTGAATGATCTGCATGCAAATTACACGTCAATAAATCTAAAAATTTTTAAAGCAAAAAATAATAACAGATGTGGGAAGATCATAGGTTAAAGAGTTATATGAATAAGATTAGGGATAATAAAATCTAGTGACCAGTAAGACATACAGATCTGAAACAGAAGAGTTCGTATGCTGTTGGGTGCTATACCATGTCACAGTGCCAGTGGTCATTCTATCTGGAAAGTATTCCTCTTAATCCCTGTGTCTCTCCAGAAAGTTCCTACTTTTTTTTTTTTTGTACCCAGGATTGAACCCAACACTTAACCACCTAACAATATCCCCAGCCCTTTTTATGTTTTATTTTGATAAAGGTTCTTGCTCAGTTGCTTAAGGCCTCACTAAATTACTAAAGCTGACCTTGAACCTGTGATCCTCCAGTCTCAGCCTCCGGAGCCACTGGGATTACAGGAATGTGCCACCATGCCTAGTGCTATCATTTATTTTAAGCCCTGCACAAGCATTCCTCCTCCATGAGTTCACCTCCGTGACCCCCATTCTTCAGCACCTGGAATGAAAACTTCATAAGAGCAGCAACTCCATCCTGGTTATTCTTTGCTGTATCCCCAGAGTCTAGAATATACCTGGCATATAGCAGGTGCCCTACAAATAGTAAATTAAAAGAGTTACTCTATCCTCTGACAGTATGTTGCATCTTTTCATAGAACCAATCATACTGTATTTTGTTTATGCAATTATCTTTCCCCACTAATAATCTCCTTTATTATTGTCTCTCCCATTCCCTGGCATTGGGGATTGAACTCAGGGGTACCTACCACTGAGCTACACCCCCAGTGCTTTTCATTTTTTTATTTTGAGATAGGGTCTCACTAAATCGCTGAGGCTGACATTGAACTTGTGATCCTTCTTTCTCAACCTCCCAAACCCCTGGAATTACAGACATGCACCACTCATTAATTTTGCAACAGGTGTCACTAAGTTGTCAAGGCAGGACTTGAACTTGCAATCCTCTTGCCTCAGCCACCAGAATCAGACCAGGTTGTCTCATCATAAAGCCACACTGTGTGACCTTCAATGGGATCTCAAAAAAGTTATTTACTTTTTAAAATTTTGAGATGGGGTCTTACTAAGTGACTAAAGCTGGCATCAAACTTGATATCCTCCTGCCTCAGCCTCCTCAGTACCTGAAATTACAAGCATGTACAACTGGGTCCAGCTATTATTGTCTATTTTTATTTGTCTTTGTATTCCCAGCTCACCAAGGAATGGAAACAAATTAAAGGACTTCAACCTCCAGGTTGGTGATTCTTCCAGAAGAAGTGGGCAGAGGAGTACCCTTGAAAAGCACCTGCTGTACCTGGGCCCTATCATGTGCCCTGCAAAACAGACAAGACTCACTAACTTGGTACCCAACTTGATCAAGGTCACTCAACAAGTAAACAAACTAGGCTTCAAACTTTGTCTGACTCCAAAGTCTATGCTTTTCCCATCCTCTCTTTTCTTTAAGATCCTTAACTCCATGGTTTTCAGGGCCTTTAGCCCCCTCTTTTTTTGGGGGTCTGGAGATTGAACTCAGAGGCACTCGACCATTGAGTCACATCCCCAACCCTATTTTGTAGTTTATTTAGAGACAGTTTTACTGAGTTACTTAGCTCCTCACTTTTGCTGAGGTTAGCTTTGAATCCTCCAGCCTCAGCCTCCCAGGCCACTGGGATTACAGGTCTGCACAACCGTCCCCAGCTCAGCCCCCTCTTGAATGACGGTTCTGACCCCAAATTCCTCTGATAATCCCTCCTTAATATTCCACAGCTGCTTTGTTTGTTCATTTGTTTGTTTGGAGATGATCTGCTATGTTGCCCAGTCTGGCCTTGAACTTCTAGCTCAAGAGATCCTCCTGTCTCAGCCTCCCAAGTAGCTAGAACTAGATGCATGCACAACTACCCCTGGCTGACAAAAGTCACATGAGCCCCCATGAGTGCTAGTACTCCTCCTTTTCAACTGAGATCTTTTAATTTCCTTCATTTCCTCACCTGCCTGCCCCAGTGTGAGCCACTTCAACAGTGTTTGAAGTTCAGACTCTTGCTCTCTCACCTCAGGGAAGCCCACCATTTCCCCTCCCTCCCTTAGGATACAGAGTATTTCTTATGTGGTTGTCTCATCATAAAACCACACTGTGTGACCTTCAGTGGGATCTCAAAATTATTCACACATCCTTTTATGCATTGTGGGTGGATCACACAGCTTGCCACAGGCACCCCAGCGTCAGGCCTATTCTTGAGATTGGAGGAGAGGCAGGAACATGTAGAGGTTCCACGTGTCAAATCCCAGCTCTGCCACCTACTAGTACTATCACTTTTCAAGATTCAGCTTCAATGTCACTTCCCCAAGATTCTTGGGCTAGATAGTGATTACTGCTACCGGTGTCCCTAGTTCTCTGGACTCCGTCCAGCATAGCAGCAACTACACTGTCATCATTGCTGAGGTAACTGCCACCTGCCTGACTACATGGTCCCATCCTAGCTTAAGGAAACCGCCATCCCCTCTCCGCCACTACAATGAGATGTCCTCCTGTTTTCTCCTTTCCTTCTTGACACACTTCTTGAAAGTGCAGTGCAAACTCCTACCCTATGTGGGCACTCACTGCCTCGTCCTCCTCAGTCCTCTGCCACCCTCCTCCCGGCTCTATCCTTCTGCTGCAAGTGTCTGCCTGCCCTCATCATCCATGTCATCATCCATGTCCTTCATCACTTTGTTCATCGGACCCTGTGGACTGCCCCTCCATGAAAGTCATCCTCCCTGGGTTTTGTGACAATTAGCCCTCCTGATCTCTTCCTAGGAGCTGACCAGGGTCTGAGGCCCTTTTCTCTTTTCTTGCCCCAACCCCCCTGGTGCAGACTGTCACTTCTATTCTCTGATCCTTGTCCTTCCCTTCCCCACCCCAACACACATGGGGTTTGCACCCATATTCTTTCAATGGGTGGTTCCAGAGGGGACTCCTGCCTATAGCTGTGCAGGGCATTCTGGCAGGACCCCTGGCCAAGGACACAGCACAGAAGCTGCTTCTTCCCAATTTGTAAAAAGGCTCCCAGGCTGTACTTACTGCTGGAGGCTCTAAACGCTTTGCTGTCCCAGCTGCTCACAGCACAGTCCCCCACCCTGGGGCACTTCTGGCAGGTCAGCTGAAGCGAAGATAGGGAGAGATGTGAGTCATGGCTGATAGCCTAGATGATTTTGAAATCAGTTCTCCGCCCACTCTTCCATTTCTCTTCCACACACCGCCCCTCCCCCCCCTTTTCCAGAGACTGCCCTAGGCCCAGGCTGAAAGGAAAGAAATAGCAATGAGAAGGAAGCAAAAGGAACCAGGAGGCTAGGAAGAGAAGCAGAAGGTAGAGGCAAACCAGATAAGAGAGGAGACTACTAGCTTTTCAATTGTCCCAAAGGTCTTCCAGCAGATTGTCTCATTTGATTCCCACAGAAACTTTTTTTTTTTTTGGGGGGGGGGTACCAGGGATTGAACCAGGACACTTAACCACTGAGCCACATCTCCAGCCCTTTTTAAAAATATTTTATTTAGAGACAGGGTCTCACTGAGTTGCTTAGGGCCTCACTAAGTTGCTGAGGCTGGCTTTGAACTCGAAATCCTCCTGCCTCAGCCTCCCAAACTGCTAGGATTACAGATGTGCACTACTAGCTCTATGGAAACCCCTGAAGTGTAATGCCAAATTTGTGGGATCCAAATAGACCTCCAGGAGCCGAATCCAATGCAATCACACAAGAGTCTTTATTGTAAGCTCGAGCCTGGACTCACAACCAGTCTCGACGCAGCGGTCCCAGGGAGTGAGTCCTGGACCTTTGTTCAGTGAGATTTTATAGGTTTTGGGGGATACTCTATGTGTCACAACATCACACAGCAAATAATTCCATACCGCAGGAAAGTCAAACAACAACATTGATTAGCACATTCACTGGCGGAACAAGTTGGGTAGGGGTGATTGGTTAGTACAAGAGGTTTAAGCCACGAGGGGTGTACGTGCTAAACTACATGGTTTCCCAACATGTTATCAACCACCATAAACTACTGGGGTCATCTGGCATCCCAGGTATTTTCCCTGTTTCATGCTGATTGGAGGTTGCTAGAAGGTTGCTATGAGTCCTCACCTAGCCTAACTGAGTCAGGGACACCTGGCACCACAGATCGCTCCTATTATTTGCAGACAAACAACTCAGCAGGGTGGGTATGTGCCTAGAAAGATTCTGTAGGTTTTTCCCAGGACAAGGGTCACGCCCCCTTCCTTAGGACAGACCTTGAGGTAGAAGCTGGTTTCTCAAAAATGGAGTCACATCAGTTTCTCAGAAGCAGATATTGCTATAATCCTTACCCTCCAGACAAGGAGATGAAGGCTAATACAAGTTATTCAAGATCATGCAGCTAGCCGTGGGAATCCAGATCTTTTGATACCAAGTGCTATGTTCACCCCTGGGTGCCACCTTTCTCTGGGCAGAGTCCAGTGCGGTAATGGGGATGGCATTGGGGTATTGGAATTATACTTGAGGAGAGACCAGGAACACCAGAGAGGATATGAAAACAGGTAAGGCCATCTCTTAGTGGGAAGAGGTGGCTTTGCTAGAGAAGGATGGACTGGGAGATGAGGAGGTTTCTAGAATTCTCTCTAAGTTTCAGCACCTACAGCATCCTGGGCAGCTAAGCGCTCTGGACACTGACTTTTCCTTTTTATTCTTGGGGAGCAACCTTTTGAGTACAATCCCAACTGAAGCAAATTAAAATGTGTCAGCACATCCACCCTCGCACCCTGCCTGCCCCAAACCCTCAGAGCACAGCTCCAACTCTAGCCTGGACATAGTGCCAGGGCCTTCAAGAGAAGGTGCCTGAGAGAAATTCCCCATGTTTAAGCTTCAGACTGGGTCCTGCACACCACACCCCAGCTGTACCCCTTCACCCTTTGTCTCCAAAGTTCTACCTACCTCTTTACCCCCTTCCCTGTCTTTCCTCAGTCTGCTAAACTGCACTTTTTGGTTCCTGCCCCACCTCTTAGCACATCTCTTTCATTATTTAAACCTAAACTATGTATGGAGCTCCCCCCACAAGCCCATTATGCACCTTTTCCAGGATGCCCTTTAGCAAGGCTCCCAGGGCCTCCTCTGAGGGAAGCCTCATAGGTGACCCCCTCATGCTTTCACTCCTCCAACCCTCTCTACAATACCACCCCTTCCCTTTTTTTTTTTGGTACCTGGGATTGAACACAGGGGCACCAGACTTGACTGCTGAGCCACATCCCCAGCCCTATTTCATATTTCATTTAGAGACAGGGTCTCTCTGAGTTGCTCAGCGCCTCGCCATTGTTGAGGCTGGCTTTGAACTCACAGTCTTCCTGTCTCAGCCTCCAGAGAGCCGGAGAGCCTCTCGGGATTACAAGCATGCACCACTGCACCCGGCTCACCCCTCCTTTTATTTATTTACCACACTTAATTGTACAACTGAATGTGGCCCCCTCTCTCCAACACACTGGTGTCACTCAGTCCTTGAAGAGGATGGGAATCAGTCCCTCCTTATTTCATCTAGAGATCCCCGCCCTCCTGCTTCAGTTGCTATTCTAAACACCTCCCTCCTCAGCTCTGGACAAGAAAACTTCCAGCCTGGATGATAAAGCAGGGCTAAAGGACATCAGACCCTCATAATGCTCCCTAATCCTCTAATCCCCCACCATCTAATTTTCCCAGTGAGTCAGCTGCAGCCCATGGTGGGAGAACACAGGAGGGGTGGCAGGAGGGACCCACCATATCAGAGTCATCTCTGAGTTAAACCGGCCTTGCAGGTTCCCCTCCCCCTCAGCAGGACACAGGAATGCAGGGCAGATGGGGGAGGAGAACTATTTCCCTTTCTTCAGGACCCCCCTCTGCTGAGGCTCTTTACACATCTTTGTTAGGAAAACTTCTCACCAGGGGCCCTCCTCCTCTGCTCTCCCAGGGCTGGTTTCAGGACCACCCTATTCCCCCCTACACCTTGCCTCTACCCCCACTCCAGAGCCCCAGTGCTGGGAATCCCGGGGGTGAACTCCTCCCTCATGCCCCTCTCTCCTTCTCCCCCAGAAGCTACCAGACCAAGTGAAAGGCTGGAACCACAAAGGAATCTGGAAGTGGTGGAAAAGGGCAGGCTGGCACTGGATGTCTGTGGTAGGTATTTGCCCCCTATGCTGCAAGAGGTCAGGAATGTGGTCATCGATGTTAGCTATGGGAGATAAAGTGCAACTGGCAGCTCTCCACCCCCGGGCCCCAGCCTGAGCCTTCATAGGCCCCAGAAGGCCCCAAGCAGCTGAGGTGGGGCAAGGATTAGAAGGAGATCTGCAAAAGGGCCTGGATAAGAATTCTGGGATCTGTTTCATTGTTAATAGACTTCAAAGTCCCTCAGGAGTCTTACATGATTTAGAGACCTCATATCCCTTGAGCCATCTTTAAAATAGTGCGGTGGCTCATGCCTGTAACCCAGAGGCTCAGGAGGCTGAGGTAGGAGAATCACAAATTCAAAGCCAGCCTCAGCAATTTAGTGAGGGCTCTAAGCAACTGAGTGAGACTCTGTCTCAAAATAAAATATAAAAAGTCCTGGGGATGTGGCTCAGTGGTTAAATGTCCCTGGTTCAATCCCTGGTAATAAATACCCAGTACAAAAAAAAAAAAAAAAGTCAACACTCTACCTCTGCCTCTTCAGTGTGTAGGAGACTTGCTTTGCAGTACGTAATTCGTATTTGTTCGAGGAGTGAGTGCATGATAATTAACATTCATATCCATTGCCATACAAAGAGACAGACTGGACAGACTTTACTATATTCAGTGAAGAAACTGAAGTTCAGAGTTAAAGTTTAAAAGCAGCAAAAGGCTGTCCGTGGCACCTTTAATCTAAACACTTTATTGCATAATTCTTGTACAAAATGACAATTCTAGAACCCTCTGGGAGTGAAGGTGAAAGCAGGCTAGAACCAGTAACATCCCACAAGTCTTCATGCAAAACCAGTGGGCATTGTTTGTATGTTATTTTGAATCCCATTTGCCTCCCAGTCTTCCAGGCCCTGACCCTCCCCTGGCCAGTTCCCCTTGAGTACTGTGGGGTTTTCCCCACCAGAAGGCTGCAGGCCTGGAACAATTCAGAGCCATACCCTGTACCTCCACTTGCCTGGTCCACTGGCCAGGCTCCTCCCAGGGTCCCTTCCCTTCTCACGCCTACCCTCCTGTCTGTCCCCACTGCCTCTGTTCATCTGGCAGCTCGATAAGAATCAATAGGTCCACTCCAGAGCAAAGATCAAGACCGAATGTGTAGAACCAGGTCCTGCCAGAAAAATGAGCTGCCGGCACTGATGACTTGAACCTAGGAGATTCTCCCAGTTCATTTAGCAGGGGGTGGGGACAAGCTTGAAATTCCGAAAGCATTATGAAGAGGGGCAGGAAAAGAAAAAAAAAAAAAAAGTCCTAATAAGGAGGGGGACTGGTGACCAGGCTAGAGTCTCAGCTAGAATGTTTCTAGGTGTTGTCTGTCCTCTCAGGCCCCAAACCATTTGGGACCTATTACAATTCCCAGGAGGGATTTTGGTCTCTTATATTCAATGCTTACATTGAATATAAGAGGCTCCTAGAACAGGGCCTGGTGCACAGTAGGTGCCTAATAAATATTCAAATTGTAAGTGCTTCTGAAGCATGTTTACTCAAGAATGTTGGTATTGGGGTGTGGAAGTGGTCACCTGTCCCCTGTCTAAATCACAAAGTGTTCCACTCTGGCCAAGGGTCCCAGGAGTAAATTGGGAGAGGGGAAAATGCAAGAGGGGGTTGAGAGACAAGAGTTTGTTTTAGGAGTCTGAACCTATTCGGTGAGGGAAACTGTCCCTTGTATTTACGAATATACATTTGTGTGGTCGGCGGACAGTGGGCAAGTGGATAAGCGCAGGCTGCAGTGAATGCAAAACAGGACATCTGAGGCTCGCTCCGGACTGTTTCTCTTCCTCTTCTCCAGCTCCAAGCTTTTCTTCCCCAGAATTCCTGCGGTTCCAGGATCCTGCAAACATCCCGCTGCAGGAAGGGAACTTGGGAGGCAGTTTGAGGATCCATAGTGAGACCCACATTCCACTCCACCTCATACCATCAGAACCCCCCAAATTTTCAATCTATCAGCACCCT